TTACTGGAGTGGAGCAGAGTGTATATTCAAGGATTCGCAGACAGCTGTCTTCTAGGCCCAAAGCCCACCTCCTGCCTGCACTTGGCCTCATCCCCACTGGGGCAGCCTGAAGAGCCCAACTCTGAGCTGTTTCTAGACAGCTTCTCCCTCCAAGAGTTCCATCCCCAGCTTGCCTGGCTCCCAGCATAATCCCAAACAACGGACACCTGCCTGTCTAGAGGGCCCTTGAGAACAGAGATCCTCCTTAGAGCCTCTCAGCTCACATAGCTGCTAATCGTCTCTGCCAGTCTCAAGAGAACGAGGCTTAAGCTCAAAATCGGCCTGAGAGAAGCCAAAAGGCTTAAGTACAGAAGGTATTTTCCCAGTGTGAGGGCTTACTTCTGCTCCCTAGGAGTCCTGTCAGGGCTTGCTTGGGATGGCAGAGCTATATTATTTGTAGACAACAACCCATCTTCGGCAGCCTATTAACCCTACAGAATCTGCCAGGACTCATGGGTTTCTACCAGTCCTGATGGGGCATGGAGAGAACTTCAGGAGGGATGTGGCTGTTTCATGACAGTCACTGAGGATCAGGGAACACAGGTTCAAAAAGTTCCCAGATGCCTGCTTTGTACACAGCCTTTATACTGAAAATCTTGAACCAGGGATCTATACCTTGTCCATATTAGCTTCTTAATAAATACTGAATTGAATTAGCAAAGCTCTAGTCCAGTGGGTCCCAACCTGAGGGCTATGGATTCCTTCGAGGCTGGAGTTTATTTTTAAGGGGTCTGTAAATCCACAAATAAGAAATTATACCTTCTGTTGACAGCAAATAATACATCTCACTCATATGTGTTTCTATTTTTCATATGCACATAGATGTTACTGTGATTGCTAAAAATACAACTCACTTAAAAGCACTCCTGAATTCACAGTAGCTTTTGGTCACGTATATTTTTTCTAATTAAGACATTATAGCTAATAGCACAATTACTATCATATGGGGAGGGGGCAGAATCTCAAAGACTGGAGATGAAAAACGAGGCCTTCATTCTCACACAGGTGGGGAGTCACATCTCAGTCGACACACCATTGAGGAAACTGAAGCTCTGGGAGAGTACATTCCCAGTGACTATGTAACTCAGAAGTAAGAAAGATGGGATCTGGACCCAGGCATCCTAACTCCCAGCCCAGGCCTATTTCCACAACACCATCCTATGTTGGACTACTAACTGGACCTTATATGTTCCTTTTAAAAATGCTTTTTTTTTTAAACCATTCCCAGATTCTAGTCATCTCCTAGGATATGGGACTGGAAGAGCCTTAAAAATCATCTGTCTTGGGGGCAGCTAAGTGACACAGTAGATAGAGCACTACCAGCTCGGGAGTCAGGAGGACCTGAATTCAAATCTGGCCTCAGACACTTGATACTTACTAGCTGTGTGACCCTAGGCAAGTCACTTAACCCCAACTGCCTCACCCCCCCACCCCCCGAAAAAAGATAATCTATCTTCGCTTTCATCCAATAAGGGATGAGAAAAATGAGCTAAGAAAGAAGAGATGTGATCAAGGTCATAGAGGAAGAAGTCAGAGCTAGGATACAAACCCAGGCCCTCTGCCTCCAGTGTTCTTTCCATTAAACCCCAGGGCCTTTTGTTGGCTTGCTTAAGTGGCTAATGGCAGTCATTTTCAGAAGCCACTACTAATGGGGGCAGAAAGGGGTGGGAAGGAAACTAAGGTGACAGAGGAAAGGGGAAAAGGTTTGGTCCATAGTATGAGGAAAAAAACCAGTCAAGAATAGTAGAAAGAGGACTGAAGATTAGAGTTTGAGGGCCTGCATTCAAGGACTGTCTTTGCCTCTTAGTTGCTGTGTAATTCGGGCAAATGGTTTTCCCTCTCTGGGCTTTATCTGTAAGATGGTGATAAAAATGGATTACCTCCTTCTCAGGGGCCTTGAAAGGGACACATCTAAAAAGCTACAGAAATGTATATTGCTACAGTAATTATCCCTCCTTCCTTATGATTCTCCTTCAGGTAAGGGATCTCCAGATATCATCCTCTCCCAGACTGGAGGTGAGAAGTTCAAAGATGAGCTAGCAGGACCCAACACTGCACACCCAGTATTATTACTACGATGGTTCCTTTGTCCCATATCATGGCTCCCCAAGGGCCCCATGGCCACAAAACTAAATTGTTGTTATCATTAGTAGTAATAAAAATGATTCACTTGTATTGAATTTTATAGTTTACAAAGCACTTTCCTGAGAACAGTCCAGTGAGGTAAGCATCAGTAATGCCATTTTATAAATGTCAAAGATACCTCTGGAAGTGAAATGATTTGCCCAAGGTCACACAAAGCTCCTAAGTGGCAGAAGTGACATTCAAACTCAGCATTTAGGGCCCCAAGTAGAGACTTCTTCCCACTGTGCCCTAAGCTCCATCTCATAAAGTATCATTAATCAGTTAGTTACAATCTACCAAGAACAATGGAAAATTAAATGAGAGGCCACCAGGCACCATGGAAAAGATCAGTCAGATGACTGATGTGGGCCTGGTTCTATCACTTGCTAACTGCATTACCCATGGCAAATCATTAAATCTTTCTGAGTCTCAGTTTTCTCAACTGTAAAATGGGGGAGTGGTGGACTAAATGACTTATGAGTGCCTTTCAGTTCTGAATCCTTGAACCAGTAAGCATACTTAATGCCTGCTATCTGCCCAGAACGGGCTCCCTTTCTACACAACAGTCAACAACCACAGTAAAAACTGAGGAGAGGGGCAATGAGTCCAAAAAAGCCCGAAGAGTTGGTCCAAGCTCTACTATGAATTTGCTCTGTGTTATGTAGCCTGCGTTTCCCCAAATGTAAAATGAGGGGTCTGGTCTAAATGGTCTTGGAGGTCCTTCCCAATTCTGACATGTTATATTTTAAAGTCCTTGCTTTCTCTAAAACTATGGATGCATCAGACTCTGCAATCCTGTGGCACTGGCCTCCTGCTTCCTCCCCACACAAGACCCTCCATCTCCCTACTTTAGGCATTTTCATTGTCTGTCTCCCATGCCTGGAATTCTCTGCTTCCTCATCTTGTCTTCTGGCTTCCTTCTGCTAAACACCACCTTCCACAAAAAGCTTTTCCCAATCCTCCTTAATTCTAGTGCCTTCCCTCTGTTGATTATTTCCAATTTATCCTGTCTGTATCTTGTCTATACGTGGTTGTTTGCATGTTGTTGCCCCATTAGACCAGGACTTCCTTGAGAGAAGGGACTATCTTTTGCCTTTTTTTTGTATCCTCAGCACTTAGCTCAGTGGCCAGAACATAGTAGGCATTAATAAATGCTTGCCGACTCCAGAAGATACCAACATGCAGTGACAGAAGGAGTTTTCTCATCTCGGAGACCCTCTACACCAATACCAGAACAATCCCACTCCAGTCCCTGTACATTCCTATCCCGGCTCTAATGTTCTACAATTTACAAAATGAATCAAGGGGTTGATCTGATCCCTCAGCCAGCCTCTGGCTATCAGGACAGCTGTGAGAAGAGCTGCACCCTGGTCTCCTGGGAGCAGGACTGTGCTCTCAGGGGAGCTCCCAGGGGGCTCAACACTGACCTGATTGAGATGTACACAGAGACCTCCATAGGAACGGCTCCTGGACTCCCAGCTTTACCCCCACATACCCAGGGCATCGCCACCTTTGCTCACACCATACCTTCCATGGCCCCATCTGAATCCAAACCACGGTTATCTTTGTGTACCAGCTTCCCCAGGAAGCCCTCCCTGACCACACCATCCTGAAATGACCTCTCCCTCCTTGAACCATCCAGAGCATTGTCTATACCCCTCACTCAGCTCTGAATACATGTGTAGAGACTGTCTCCCCAGCCAGATTATGAGCCCCCTGCTCCCTAAGGGCAGGGCCCTGGTCTGCTTCTCCCCACCCCCCCACCCCCCCACCCCCGCCCCCAAACAACCTGCACTGGTCTCTGCATAGAAAAGGGGCTTGAATGCCAATGCCGATGAAAAGCCAACAGCACTACAGGGTGGGGGAGGTGGAGGTGGCACACAACCAAAGCTCCCAGAATGTTCCTATTTGTCCCTCAGTTCTCCCAACGAATAGGAACAACGTCAATTCAACACATTCCACCTGTGTATATGGAGTGCTCAGTGCTGGGGATGATAGAAAGCTTAGAAATTATCTAGACCCTGCCTCCCAGAGCTTATTTTCTACTAGATGGCATAGACAACCACATTTCACCATACTGTATGATAAATGTTCCTGAGAAATACAAAATGCTATGAGAGGAAGAAATAGGTTCTTCCAGACTTGAGGTTAGCATGAGGACGGAGGTTTGGCGGAAAGGTGACGTCTAGCAGGTCAATATACCCCATAAACCCTTTTTTCTCCAGGCTGAACATAGGACCTCGAATTAGAGAGTTACTCCTCCCTCCAATCTCCATACCGAGACCCCCAAACCTAACCTGGCCTGCTCTCCAATTCTGTGTTCCTCACCCCAGGTCAGGCTTCCAAACTATACCTCTAAGAGGAAGAAGGTGGCAAATCTAGAACGCGGATAGCCTGGACAGGATGATGCAGAGGAGAACAGGCAGGAGAAGAGATGTAAGGGTCCCTGCATCAAGCCCCAGGGGCCAAAAGCTTGGGTCTCATAGCAAGGAAGGTAGTGAATGGCAGAAGAGACTGGCCTGAGATCTGTCCTCTGGGTGGAGGTGGGTCAGGCGTCCCTAGCTAAGATCTGCCCTAAATGGGGGGGGGGGGGGGGGGACGAGGTCCTAAACTAGTGTCCATCCCTCATGAAGAGTCAGGGAGTCCTAGACTGCTGTACACCCACTGCGGAGGGTCTCCGGAGGTACTTTACGCCCTGGGAGTGAGTTCAAGATTGCCTGCTTTGCCCCAGGAGGAGCTCAAGCGTCCACAGATGGAACGTGCTGCTGAGTAGGGGATGAGAGGTCCCAGTCAGAGATCTATACTTGGGAAGGGGGTCTGGGAGTCCCCGCACTCACCCTCGCACTGAAAGCCGGCCAGTCCCCAGATGAAGTCGGTGCAGTAGTGGCAGAAGGTGGGCTTGGTGAGCGTCACCTTTCTGAAGCTGTGGCCCGGAGGAGCGGCGGGGGACGCCGAGGGCTTGGGGCCCGGCTCCTGTCCCTGCCCCGACCCGGCGCCCTGCCCCTGGCCCGTGTGGCCGGGCTGCGGGCGGCCCTTGCCGTCGCCGCCGAGCTGGGGGCTGGAGGCCGGGCTCCCTAGACGGGAGCCGGAGCCCGAGCCCGAGCCCGAGCCCGACCTCGAGCCTGAGCTGCCGCCGCCGCCGCCGCCGCCGCCGAACCAGGAGCGAGCGCCCGTGGCCGCCGCCGCCGCCATCCGGCCCGCAGCCTGCCGGGGGCTTAGGCGCAGGGCGCCCAGGGCGCACGGGGGGTTCCAAGCTCCGCAGTCCGCATGGGCCGGGCCGGGGGTTAGAGCCGGAGACGCACACAGCTTCCGACTGGCGGCCAGACCTTGGCCACCGAGCTACTGAGCATGCCCAGAGGCGCCGGCTCCGGGCACACGGGCGCAGGGGGTGGGGCCGTAAGGGACGGGGCGGAGCGGGGCGGGGTCGCCTCCGGGCTGGGGACCCCGCAGGTGCGAGGAGGTGCAGACTCCGGGCTGACTGAAAGACTTGGGCGCCGGGGAGGGGAGGAGAGGAGAGATGCGGAGCGTGCTGTGGAACCAGCCTTCCCACCTCCTCACTCTTCGCCAGCAACTGTAAACGCGGTGGGGTAGGGGCTACATTAGATCTTCCCGAGGTCATCACTGTCGTTTTACAAAGGAGGAAACTGAGGCCCAGAGAGGAGAAAAGATTCGCTGAAAGGCCTCACAGCGAGTTAGTGGCAGAGCCAGGACTGGCGATCCCTCCTGGCCTCTGTCGCTCAGATTCTTCAACTGCATTCCAGGCTCAGCTCAAGGGTCATCTCCTATTGAGAAGCCTTTCCTTCTATTACTGGGAAGCCTTTCCTCCTATTATCTTGCATTTACTTATCTGTTTACTTGTTTCTATCCGCCAGTAGGTGTAAGAATAATAAACAATAATTGACATTTATACATAAGTTGAAAATTTGCAAAGAGCTTTACATAAATTACCTCATTTGAGCCTCACAACCAACACTGTGAGTGAAGTACTATAGGCATTATGATAAGGCACTTCTAGATGAGGAAACTGAGGCTAAAAGACTTCTCTACTGGCATATGGTTAGTGAGCCTCAGAAGTGGAATCTGAACTCAAAACCTTCCTGATTCCCACGTTCAGCGTTATCTTTCTCCATCTGATATAATGGAAAGCATACTGGGCCTGAAATCAGACGACCTGAGTTCAAATCCAGCCTCTGGGGCTTACCACCTGTTATCCCAGCCAAGTCACTTTAACTTCTTTGGGCCTCAGTTTCCCTATCTGTAAAATGATGGACCAGGGTGAGCTAGATGACCTCTGAGGTCTCCTGCAACGAGGACTATTTCATTCTTGACATTGCCACCCCAGCCAGTAGTATCATGCCTAACCCAGAATAGAAGCTTGTCGAATTGTTGAGTTGAATTCTGGCCCCAAGTCAGAGGCTTTCTCCCAACCCTGTTCTGTGCTTCTCTTCTCACTCTATCTCAGGACACTTCCTGTTCACCTGGGCCCAGAGGAGAAGGTTCATTCAGGCCACAACCCGGATTCCCTCTACAATTTTCTAGGGCATCCAGGATTCCCAGGCAGAAATAGAGGCATCTTAGCATAACGTACAGAGTACTGGTTTTTGGAGTCAGGAGAGCTGTGGGTTCCCTCCTGGTTCTGCCCTTTATTAATTTTGTGACTTGGGACGAGTTCCTCCCTTCTCTGAGCTTCAGTTTCCCCCTCTGTATAATAAGAGAGTTCAACTACAGCTTTAAGGTTCATTCCAGCTCTAAGATCCTAGAAATGAGTTTTCCTCCCTGAGCTTTGGGCTTGCTGGGCACCTTTCTTTTGTATCTGCCATGATTTCATTTTTATTATAGTTCTTAGAGTCCTTGTTTCTTCTCTTCTGCTAGATTGGGAGCTTGCTGAGAGCAGAAATCAGGTCCTATTCATCTCTTCCACTCCCTCAGTGTGCAGCCCAGAACAAATGCTTCTAAATGTTTATTGAACTGAATTTCCAGCTGCATTGTGCAGAAATTACAGCTCTGCAGCCTGGCACTTTACAAGAAAAGGTCTTAGATCCTTTTCCTTTTGTTGGTGCCAACTACAAGCTAGCTAAGAATAATGATAAGCATTCATAGAGTACTTTAAGGTTTATAACATGCTTTACAAATATTCTTTGATATTTTTCCCCCTCATAACAACCCTGGGAAGTAGGTACTATTATTATCATTCTCACTCTTCAGATGGGGAAACTGAGGCAGACAGTGGTTAAGTGACTTGCCCAGCACCACATAGCTAGTATCTGAGGGGAGATTTGATCTCAGGACTACTTAAATCCAGGTCCATCTCTCTATCCACTATGCTATCTCCTTGAATGAAATTACAGATCCATTAAAGTGGAACCATAAAATATGGTTAGTTAGTGGCCTTCTGATTCAACTCAACTAGAATATTATTGAGGATCCTTCCATGCTCAGCTTCAGTCTGATGGACACAGAGAAGGAGTGGTTCTCAGGGAGCTGTGAGGAAAAGCCCATAGCACAGAATACAGAACAAGACAGGGGAGAATAGAAATGAATCAAATGTTAAACAGTATCACTCATTCAACAAATTATTAGAGTGCTTGCTAAGCTCAGGGCTTTCTGCGCTGCACCATGGGGGATGAATGTACTTTAGAGGTCCTCAAAACCATATCAGGAATCCTCTCTACCACTTCCCTGATACATGTTCAGCCAAACTCTGCTGAAATACTTCTAGTGTTGGGAGTCTCACCACCTCTTACAGCACCCATTTCCATTGCCAGGAAGCTCTCCCATTCTATCTGGTCAAATCTGACTTCCAGTAATGTTTCTGATATTTGAAATTTAATTTGAAGCTAAATTCTGAAATTTGAAGTTTAAAATCTCTCTTCCTCTTTTCTCCAAGTTAACCATTCCTAGAACCTTAAGCTAATCCTCAATTTCAGTCGATTGAGGCCTCTCTCTGTCTGTCTCTCTGTCTCTCTCTCTGGTCCTGATTCTGTCATCCCACTTGTCATTCCAATTTCATGTCATCTACAATTTGATAAGCATCCATATCATTGAGACAAATGTTGAGCAGAGCCCTGACGGATCCCTGGACTATGACACCAGAAACCTGCCTCTAAGGCAGTGATATCAAACTCAAATCAAAACAGGGACTACTAAACCTTTACTTAAGAATCCCAGCAAGCAGTATATTGATTTAGAAAACCACATACTCACATTATCTGTGTTCTATTATATTTTTATTTTGTTAAATATTCCTCAATTGCATTTTAACCATATGGGAGTGTTGCCTACCTTGTTGGCCACAAAGCTGGCCTGCAGCCTCAGACACCTCTGTCCTAAGGTTTTTCATCACTACTCCTTGGGTTCACGCAATCATTCAGCTCTGAGTATATCTGACTTCAGCCAGTATTTCTACACACATCTACTAAGCATTTTCCATGGGTAAGGTCCTATCTTCTACACAGGGGGTTACAGAGATAGGTACGATACAAACTAAACACTGTACATCATCTAACCTCCAGCTCTCCAACTTGACCACAATGAAATTCAGTCATATTATACATACTGTATGCAGTAGTTTCCTGATCTACCCATCTAATTACCCAGTTAAAGGAGGTAGAATAAGATGGTCCACCACAGAGAGTAAGCACTATAGGGATACTTAAAAGGAAGAGGTCAGTGAGACAGGAGTTAGTCAGGAAAGGCATCTTATCTTGCAGGAAAAGGGAAGGAGGGTAGAGAGGGTGAGCTGAGCCCTGAAGGATGGGCAGACTTGAATGTTTCCAGTGTTCAACGCCCTCAGGAGTCTGGTGCCACCCTAACTTTCTAATCTGTTCTCCTGCTCCTCTCCTCCAAGTGGCCTGAGCTCTAGCTAGATCGACCTCCATCATCTGTGCACTCTGCTTGGCCACCTTCATGCCTTTCCTTATCCTCTTCCCTTCCCCTGGGAGAGTATCCATTCCCTACCCTTTCAGTCTCTCCTTGTGAAAATCCTAATCAGCCTTCAAAATCCAGCTCAAATGGCACCTCTGCCACCAAGGCATTCTTAAGTCCCTCCAATTAATAACAACCTTCATTTTATGACCTCAGCTAGGACTTTTTTTCTGCTATCCCTTACATATATTTACTATATAGTAGTATGTGGTATAATTGTGTGTCTCATCCCCCTACCAGACTGTAAACTTCATGAGGGCAGGTCCTAGGTATTATTTAATTTTTGGGTCTTCCCCTTTGTTGCTGTTATTCAGCAGTTTTCAGTCATTTCCAACTCTTCATGATCCCATTTGGGGTTTTCTTGGCAAAGATACTGGAGCTGTTTGCCATTTCCTTCTCCAGCTCATTTTACAGATGAGAAAACTTCTCAACACACTGTAAGCACTTAATAAGCATGATTTGAATTTAAATGAATTGAATGGAGACAGGAAGTCTATTTCCAGGCAGGGGGAAGTCTTCAGCAAAAACTCAGAGGTGTCAATGAACCTGATGTGTGCCAGGGAGGGGTTTAGCTAGCCAGAAGGGAGGACTTGAGTTAAAAAATAGAGGATACAAGATTTGAAGTAGCAGGAGAGAACCAGGTGGTAGACAGCTTTGAATGCCAAGGTAAATAGTTTAGGTTTCTCCTGCTAAACAATAGGCAATGACTGAGCTTTTCCCAGCTCCATCTGGGTAGGTTCTCTCTTTCTTCTCTGAAGAATAATTACCAGACCTCGTATTTGTGGGTACAGGGCTTTATATTTTCTCAAAGCATTTCCTCATCCATCACCTCATATATCAAGGGATGAACACCAAAAGAAACTTACGAGCATCCGCTACATGTAATCATCCTCTTGCTAATATTCTCTCACATTTGTCTGGCACTTAACAGCTTCCAAAACACTTTAGCATCCATTACTTTAAGACTTTGAGGACCTGGCATTTCATTGTGGCAGACTCTCTCTCTCTGTGCCTCAGGAGCCAGTATTTAAAAGTTGCAGTGATGCCTCGTGGGTAATTTCATCCCTTGTTGGCCCCTCCCGTAAGAATCTCCACCTCCAACCAGGAAGGCCCAAGTGGTCCTGGAAACCTTACTCTTGAGCTTGCCCTCTTGGCATCAGAGAGCCAGACATTATCTAGTCCAACCCACTGGCTTAGCCTCCAAGAACCCAGCATCATTTCTGCCCTGTCAAGAAGCTTTGGGGGAAGCACTTTGGTGGAGGTGCCTCACACATAGGGATAGGGGCTGGACCAGTGATTTTACTAGGATAGGGAACTCCCTGGAGAGGAAACTCCCTCTTCCAGTGCAGGTCTGTACCTTCTCTGCTACTTATAATCTTACAGGGCTGCCTTGAGCCCTGGGAAGACAAATAACTTTCCCAGGGTCAGCCAATATAAGCATTTTTACAACACCTACCTTGTACCAGGCACTGTGCTCAATTTTTTTTTTTGACAAATATTATCTCTTTTGATTCTCAGAACAATCCTGCAAAGTAGGTGCTATTATTTTCCCCATTCTGCAGTTGAAGAAATGGAGGCAAGCAGAGGTTAAATGACTTGCCCAGGGTTATATAGCTAGTACGTGTCTGAGGCTAGATTTGAACTCAGAGCTTCTTGATTCCAGGCCCAGCACTCTTATCAACTGTACCACTAGCTGCCTTTATGTGTCAGAGATACAATAATAATAACCATTCCCATCTTCAGGGTTTACAAAGAGCTTTCTGTATAACATCCTTATGAGGTAAGTTGCATATATATTATTATCCATATCATACAAATAAGAAAACTAAGGCCCAAAGAAGTTAAGACTTACCATTCCTCACTAGTGACTCTCAACACTTTACTACCATGCCTCAGCTTCCTTCTCACCATGGAATTTCCCTCATATCTTATGGTTTTCTCACTCTGGAACATCCCTTTGTCCCAAGAGCCCCCCTCTCCCATTTTGTAAGCTACTCCTAGGGTCCAGGTCAGTCCTTCCTTTCTCTTTTGTCTCTGCTCCAGACTTCACCACCATCCCCCCACTCCCCACTCCCCACTTCCCCACGGATGCCTTCTCCTCCACCCCTCCCCCTTTCAGCTCCCTTTTATGTGTAGTCTTCTCTCATTTGAGTGGAAGCTCCCTGAGGGCAGGGATTGTCTTTCTTTTTGCTTGTGTTCCTTTTCCCAGGGCCCTGCATGTAATAAACGCTTTTTGACTGACTGGCTGACTTAACCATGGTTACAAACCCAATAAATGTGGGAGCTGGGACCGACGTTTGTCTGGTAACTTCCAAACCTTTGCACTTTGACCTCGATATCCTACTATTTCTCATGATCCCCTATGATCCTCACATTATCCCTATGACAAAGGCAGACAGAGCATTACTATCCCCCCTTTCATTTATTTATTTATTTAATTTTTAGGCAATTGGGGCTAAGTGACTTGCTCAGGGTCACGCAGCTAATAAGTGTCAAGTCTTTGGTCTGAGGCTGGATTTGAACTCAAGTCCTCCTGACTTCAGGGCCGGTGCTCTATCCACTTTGCCACCTAGCTGCCCCAACCCCTCTTTTACAGAACCTAAAAATGAGGTTCAGAAAAAGGGCAAGAGTCAGTAAATGTCAAAGACTAGTCTAGAAAGTAGGTCTGTGGCGCAGGGCTCAGCTAATGGCGGTATAGGGTGGCATGTTTTATGTATCTGGATGTGGAGGAAGATGTCAGTTTCTAACTCAACTGACAGAAATATAACCTAAGGCCGGGGTGGGGAACCTGCAGCCCGGAGGCCACAAGTGGCCCTCTAGGTCCTCAAGTGTGGCCCTTGGACAGAATCCAAACTTCACTAAACAAATCCCCTTAATAAAAGAATTTGTCCTGTAAAACTTGTACTCCGTCAAAAAGCCGCACCCAAGGACCTGGAGGGTAACATGTAGCCTCAAGGCCACAGGTTCCCCACCCCTGACCTACGGGGTAAAAATTTCCTATTGAAAACCAAAAACTTTAACAAGTTACCACATTCAAGGGCCCTGCTCTGGACTTTAGCTACCCCCCACCAGGTCTTGTTCCCTCTTGGTACATCTGGCCTAATACTTGGGAGCAAACTCCTACCGTCTCAGTCTGACAAAGTCTTCCTTCAAGGGCCAGCTCCTAGACTCGGTACTCTCCCTGGAAGCCTTTCCTGCTTTCTATCTGCCACATTCCTAGAGCACAAAGAGAGAGTGTACACCTTGCTCCACACCCTCCCTTGTGTCAAACTTATCTCCACTTAATACCTTTCTGAAAAGGAAGAATTTAATCTCTGTTTGTTCAGGTTGCTTTGTAAACTTCAAGTGAAAGTCAGTGAAAAGAATGCTGAATTTAGTCAGAAGACCCAGGGCAGGTCACTTCTCTCCGGGTCTGTTTCCTCATCTGCAAAAGGAGCCTTCTAAGGTCTCTTCCAGGTTTAAATCTGTGGTCCTATGATCATTATGATTGAATTGGATGGGAAAGACAGGCTGGACCTGGATTTGGAGTCAGGAGACCTAGATTCCAAGTACCTGGTCTACTATTTATTAACTGTGTGACCTTGAATGACCTCTCTGAGCTTCAGTTTTCCTATCTGTGAAATGAGAGATTGGACGCCGTGGCCTCTGACAGCTCCTGATTCTAGGATTCTGACCCCGCATCACTGGACTCTAACCCCTTCCCCTAGACAGCGCTCCGGCTCTTTCCTTGTGGGCAGAGTTCAGGAACACCCCCGCCCCTCCCCCAATACGACTCAACGCTGCCCGGAAGAGCTGGATCAGGAAGCAGCTGCTGCAGAGGCAGGAAACCGCTAGGGAGGTTCCGTTCTCCCGGGAGTGGGAGTGGGGCTCCCTGCCGGGAGCGCGGAGGAGGCGTGTCGTGATTCCGGGGCTGCGCGCTCTCTCCTGGGGAGGCGTGAGCGAAGCAGAGCGCGGCTGGGCTAGGAGGGGCGGGGGCGCTGCCTTCCTCCGAGGAGCCGGAAGCCGGCTGCCAGCTGCGGGAGCTGGCTACGTTGTAGCGGAGCCTGGCGACGTCGTAGCGGCTCTGGCCCGGCGGCTGGATGGGGGCTCGGAGCGCGTGGGCCGCGGCGCTACTGCTGCTCCTGTCCTTGCTGCCTGGAACCTTCGCCTCCTGCCTCTTCTCGGTGGACGCCTCCACAGCCACGGGGCAGCTGAAGCCTTTCTGGAAGAGCACCGGCTTCTGGTAGGCTGAGTCCGCCTCCCCGCGGCCAGTGCCTGGGACGCCTCCGTCGATCCCCTGGCTAGGACGCAGTAATACACGTCGGCCCCCGGGGTACTTGGAGGCTAGACACCCGTACACGGGCCGTGCCCTGGAACCTTTAGGGTTGGAGCTCGAGCACCATTGTCGAGGAGAGGCGAAAGAAGGCACCCCGACCTACTCCTTCCCCAAAGAAACCCGCAGGGCTTCTTCCCCCCATTGTATTGTTTTCTCTTGTTTCAAAGGTGGCAGGCTGCCTGAGGAACTAGAGGCCCCCCCCCCCCACTGAGTAGTGCTTTGGGGCGAGATCCAAGGGATCCCAGCGATAGAATTCTGGGAGAGAAATCTAGGAGTGGATGGAGGGCGCCACGAAAATTCAATGAAGGGAAGCCTAAGTGTAAGGAGGGCAAGAGTTTGAGGCTGAACTATCCCCCTGCGGCTCTGTGGAGCTCTCTCCACACGGAGAACCTTAGCATGAGAAAGGGACCCCTTTCACTTGTAGCCAGGGCATCTGATGATAAAGAACTCTCCATCCTTTGAAGCAGTCGCTTCCGTCTAGGGTGTTCTATTGGGGAAGTTTTCCCTTGTACTCAGCCAAAATCTGGCTCCTGAAACTTTCTGCTTTGGACCTAGTTCTGTTCTCTTGGGTCAAACAAACACAAATTTGACCTTTCTCTTCCATGACAGCCCTTCGTATACTTTTAAGCCACAGATCATGTTCCCCAGAAGTTTTACTTGCACACTGTAGGTGCTTAATGCTTGCTGAATTGACTTGAATCCAAGTTAAACATTTCTAGTTCCCTCAGCCGAATCTCTTGTGACTTGCAGACTGCTTGGTCATCAGCATCATGGAGGAGTCACAGATCCTCAGATATGCCAGTTCCTGATAGTGCTTGAGGAAAAATAAATAAATTATACACACACACACATAACGTATATGGGACCGTGTCACTGAACTGTTAGCTCTTTCCTGCCTCTGAGAGCTCTGGCAGTAGCTGGACTTCCTAGAGGTAAAACATCTTGTACTCACCTGGTCTTAATAGGAGAAACTTCAAGTCTTCCAAAGGGGGGTGGGGGAGAGGTCTGTTAACCCCACACAGGTCTCTGTAAAACAGTAGGTGCTCAGGGATTGTTTCCTCAATGAATGAAGGAGTATGAGTAAAATGATGACATCCTTATTCTGTATTTCAGTTATCTGTGATTTCATTAAGATGGGCACTCCCTCCACCAGCTGGAACCAAAACTCCCTCTATAATTTAGTAGATGTCTTTCTTTGGTGTCTCTACTCATTGGCTCAAGCCCTCACTAGCTGTATTCCCTCCATCCTTAGGAAGCCAGTAGTAACAAGCGGTGCAGTTCCATTTAACCACTTAACATCCGTTAGCTTTTACACAAGGATGTTTACTTTGAGGGCTTGACCACAGCTGACACACGGTCTTTTCTCCCAACCCCATAGGGGAATACTTGCTCCCATAACACTTTTGTCTCTGGGAAGAATAGATTCAACTTAGCTCAGTTCCTCTATGGTATTGGTTTCACCAGCTTCATGTTCCAATGCAATATGACTGCTAGATAAGGCTGCTTCTCACTCCTCAGGGCATGATGCTGGACTGGCTTTAAAACCCAGATTCAAACATGACGGGATGCCAAGGAGCCCTTTGGACCTTTTGAATTCCCAAAGTCAGTGCTTGGCACTCCCCTCATCAGATGCCACAAGTGAAGAAATCACTGAGATTCCTCTAGAAGGGAAGGAGGCAGAGACCATAGCTGAATCTGGCAGGCCTTTTTGAATTCTTCTGCAGTCCATCAGATAGCCTCCTTTCCATCACAGTTAGATGATTGGAATCCATTACAGGACGTCTATGAATATTCCATGGTTTGTCTCTCCAAGGCACTTTCCTTACATGTCATCAGAGTTGCCTCAGAAGCTGTTCCCTAGTGTCCTTAACATGGAAAGGAAACATCTCCTTAGCAAAGGGCTAGGATCTTCACTGATTTCACTCATTTGTTGACTTGAATTAAGATGAATGACAATGAATTCCACTCATGGCAAAGGTGGCATGGTAGCTAAGAGAATCACCAAAGATGTAAAATTGGAGAGATCCAGGTGACTTGAGTTGGTTAAAAGCAGAATCTTCCAGTACCAGAGATGTAACTAAGTTGGAGCAGTCAGGACTTTCCTCTAGGATGGAAATTTCTAAATTTGTAGTAATATCTTTTGTTTTTATATAATTTAATTTCCGAATATGCCTGTCCACCTCCTCCAATCAGAAAGCCATCCCTTATAACAAAGAATTAAAAAGAGGAGGGAGAAAACATTTCATTAAAATGAACCAACATACCCTGAATGAGACATTTGCATTTTGGGACCTGACCAGTTTGGGAATTTAAAAAATTTTTTGCTTGACTATACGTATTTGCTCTAAAGGGTTTTTTCTTCTTCTTTATTTTTCAATTTGTGGGATCAGGGAGGGGTAGGAAGGAGAGACAATAAATACTTGTTAATTAAAAAAGAAAAAAACCAGGTAGCAGCTGCCTTAAGAGGTAGTGCTCTCCCTGTGGCGAGAAAAGTTCAAGCAAATGGGCTGACCCATTTGTTAAAGACACCATGGAAAGTATTCCCACGTTGACTAGGGGGTTGTATACTCTGTGGCCTCTGTAGTAGCTGAATTGATTATTTCATGTTTCTAGGTACTCAACACATACCTGTTACACGATAGGTGTGCTTTTACCGGGGGTGGGGGGGGTTGGGGTGTATCTGTGAAGATGGCTTGGGAGTGACTTTTTTTCTCAATCTTTTTGGTTTTTCCAGCCCTCCTCTGCCCCATGAAAAGTCAGACCTGTATGATCTCAGCCAAGACCAGCAGCTCAATCTTGCCTATATTGCATCTATCCCTCACGGGGGCATTGAACAGGTCAGGACCCACTGGTTACTGGACCTCATCACAGCCAGGTAAGCTCTGTTGATTTCCTGGGGAACTATACAAGCAGCTATGAAATTTACATGAGAGAAACATGGGGCTGTGCCTTCCACCTAAGGTGGTGTGATGGAAGGAAGCCAGGACTAGGAACCAAGAGGTTATGGTTCTAGGTCCAGCTCCGCCATTTCCTAGTAGCATGACCTTAGCCAAGTCATTTCTCCACTATCAGCTTCAGTTCCTTTATCTATAAAATGGAGATCATCACATTTGCACTTTCTGCTTTGCAGGTCCATGTGACAAAAATGTTTTGCTAACCTTGAAGTGCCATATAAATGCTATTATACTAATATTATTATTAATGATAGGGGGAAGGTAAGAAAGTAAGCATTTATATAGCATATACCATGTGCCAAGAAGTGCTAAGAGCTTTATAAATACTATCTCATTTGAATCTCAAAACAATTCTGTTTTGAGAATCCTGCTTCGAGTTAGGTGCTGTTGTTATCTCCATTTTGTTGTTGTTCAGTTGTTTCAGTCCTGTCTGACTCTTTGTGACCCCTTTTGGGGTTTTCTTGGCAAGGATAGTGGAGTGGTTTGCCACTTCCTTCTAGCTGATTTTACAGATGAGGAAACTGAGGCAAACAGAGGTTAAGTGACTTACCCAGGGTCACACAGCTAAGTGTCTTAGGCCGGATTTGAATTTGGGTCTTCCTACCTCAAGTACTGCATCCACTGTACCACATGGCAGCTTTATTGTTACATCATCATCACTGACTATTCTAGGAATCTCTGGTTCCCTTAACATAGATTCTCTCTCCACAGACACAGATCACAGCCCCTCAGTGTTGTAGCAGACAGTTTGTCATGAGTTGCTGTGGCTGAGATCTGGCTGGAATATAGAGGTCTCTACCCTGAGATAGACTGAATGTCAGGCAGGGGATACCACACAGTCCATCTCTGGACCTGTACCCAAAGTCTTTCCAGTTTGTCTGGACCTGCCAGAACTTATGCTATACTGGCATTGCCTTCAGGAACCAAGGGTCACTTTCATGCTATAATTTAGCTTAGGGAGGATTATTATGCTTAGCAGAGTCTCTGGCACATAATAGGTGCTTTAAACATGTTTATTGACTGATAGTAATAGAGTATTATATTGTTGTATTCTAGTATTTAATAGGCAAGTAGGTGGCACAGTGGATAGAGTACTGGTCTTGGAGTCAAGAAGACCTGAGTTCCAATCCAGTATCCTCATTTACTAGCTATGTGGCCCTGGGCACGTCACTTAGGTATGAGAGCTAGATAAAGCTCTGGACTTGGAATCAGGAAGACCTGAGTTCAGATCTGGCCTTTGACACTTGTGATGTGACCTTGGGCATGTCATTTAACCTCCATTTGCCCTCAGTTTCCTCATCTGTAAAATGGGGATAATAGCACCTACCTTCTGTGAGGATCACATGTGATACTATTTGTATAGTGTTTTATAAACCCTAAAGCACTATTTAAACACTAGTTATTAATATTATTGTTAGGCATAATATTATGTATTATAGTAATATAATGACATACAGGTGAAGTAGTGTGGCCTGATAACTAGAGAGCCATTCGAAAATTGGCACTGGTGGAGAAATCTGCCATAACACAAGTCCTCAGTGGAGATCATAGGGATGATGGGATCAGAGATTTAGAGCAAAGAGGGGCCTTCAAAGCCATTAAGTCCAACTCTGTCATTTGCTGAGGAAGGGTAAATATTTTTGCCTGGGTCACTCAGATAATAAATATTTGAGGTAGTCTTCCTGACTCCAAGCCCAGTGTCCTGATGAAATCACAGGTCTGGACCCGATATAGTATAATGTCATTAAGCTTTGATAACACTTTATCTTATCCATTGTTATTAAATCACCAAACATGTTCTATATACACACCACTCTGAATGGGGACCAGTCTTGCTTGATCTCTTCAGCTAAGCAGGTTCAGGATTGGTTAGTCCTTGAAGGGAGATTGCCAGTGAATACTCAATGCTGTAGTCACAGTAGTCTGCTGGATACAGAGCTGCCCTTGGGGTTGAAAAGAGCTTCTGTTAAGTCTCACTACTGACACTTATTAATAAGTCTTTTAACTTCACAGCGTCCCAAGAAATTTTTTAAGATTGCAAGTTGCAAAATAATTTTTGATATGCACTGGGAGAGGGAGTTTCCTTGCAAGTCTGTTATAAAATAAAATCGCCAATTAGTTGTTAAATAAATATTATTAGGTGAAGAAGGGGGAAATGTTGGAACACAAAAATTTTTTAAAAATGAATGTTAAAATTTGTTTTTACATGTAATTGGCCATCTTAAGGAGGGGGGAGGTAAGGGAGGGAGGGAAGGAGAAAATTTGGAACTTAAAATAAAAAAAAAGAATGTTAAAATAAATTATATTATAATGATTGAAGTAATGAATAATTATTAATATGATATGCTATTATAATTATGAGACCAAATTATTTGTACTAATTAGTAATGATAAACAATTAATATGGTATAATATAATTATAATACTAAATCATTATGATTACAGAAATGTGTTCCCTTGCAAAGCCCCAGGGAGTTCAGGAGTAAGACAACATTTGACAAATTTCTCCCTGTCCCATGTCCTGCAGAAATATTGCCTTCTATATCACTACCTCATATGAGTGGAACACTTGAAACTTTTTCCAAAGTGCTTTTGAATCAGTTTTCCCTTCTGGTCTTCATGTCTTCCCTATGAGGTAGGTTGAGCAGGGATTATTGCTGCCCCCATTTGGCTGATGGAGAAACTGAGGCCCAGGGAAGAGAAATGACTTTGGATTCAATTTAGTGATGGAGCCAGGACCAGATCCCAGGTCTCCTGATTCCTAGTTGCCTGTACTTTCTTCTAATGACAGTGTCTAGGAAGGAGAATGGAAAGGGCAAGGGATGCAGAAGGAAAAACAGAATCCATTAGGATTCTTTGGTCAGTAGATTGTAAACTCTTTGAGGGCAGGGCCCATCTTTGTAGCCCCAACTCTTAGCATGGTGCTTTGCACATAGTGAGCACTTAATAAATGTTTATTGACTAATGGTGAGAGACTTAGACGAAGGGACTGAAAAAGGGTCCTTATACCTTGAAATGAATTCATTTAAATGGGCAGAGCTGCTAAACAAATGTAGTTGTATTGTTAGTCAGTGTTAAGTTTCTAATAAAACAGAACATGAAAATGTAAACATGTATTTTAAAGAAGCAAATGTAGACAAATGGTAGAGAAGAGCACTGATGCTGGACTGGTCCCTCTACCTCCTAGCTAGGGAGGAGCTGGGCTCAAACTTCTGTCCCCAGAACAGCCAGGCAGAACTCCCAGGAAAGCTCAGCCGGAAGTGCTCTGGCTTGAGTCTGGGTTGGAAAGGGTAGTTGTCAGCATGGGCTGTGGCATGGTCCTGGAAGGAAGAGATGGAAGGTGGAAGGTGACACCGCAGGCTTCTCCTCAGCCTCTGTCAGTGGGATGCTGAGCTTCACCTGCCTGTTTCTTTAAGTCCCATTTGGGACAGAACACCACCTAAACTACTTACTGTGTAATCTGAAGATTTCCTTACTGGTCAAAAAGAATCTGGAAAAAAGTGACCAAGTTTGGCATAGGGGTTGCCATTCTCTCTCTCTCTCTGTGTCTCTCTCTTTCTCTCCCTCTCTCCCCCTTCTCCCTCTTCCTCCACCTCCGCCTTACCCCTCTCTCACTCCACTCCCCTCCTTTTCCCTCTTTCCTTCTCCTTCTCTCTCTCTTTCTCTCCCTCCTTCCCTCCCTCCCCCTTCTCCCTCTCCCTTCACCTCCCCCCCTCTCCTTTTCTCTCTCTCTCTCTCTTTCTCTCTCCCCCTCCTTCCCTCCCTCCCCCTTCTCCCTCTCCCTCCACCTCCGCCTCCCCCCTTCCTTTTCCCTCTCTCCCTCTCCTTCTCTCTCTCTCTCTCTCTCTCTCTCTCTCTCTCTCTCTCGCTCGCTATTGCTCTCACTCTCAATATACAGGCCTAGAGAAGACCCTAGGCTAAGTTAGATCGAGGAAACTCTAATTTGACAGAATAGCTTAGAAAGCCTAAGTAACATCCTCTCTGGGACTAGTCTGCTTTCTTTCATCTGCACTTCTAGTGACTTTACCCTAGTCTTATTTCTGAGGCCACATAGTCTCTCCTTGCTAGGAAATGTATGCATGTGATTTGTAGTATGTGGAGCCAGGGAAGGAGAGGAGGGGGCAGATGGCGCCAGGCTTGAACACCCAGTCAAGGTGGTGTTGGCAGTGGCAGGAGAAGGGAGTGGGTCATTTGGGATCATGGGCATCAGAGTAATGGATCCTTCCAGCTGCACTGAACCTTAGTGGTCATATAATCCAGTTCTTCATTTTACATCTGTAAAATGGGAATAATAATAATAATAGAACCTCACTCCCAGGGTTGTTGTGAGGATCATATAAGATAATAATGTATAATTGTAAAATGCTAAGCATTGTGCTTGGCACACAGTAAATGCTATGTAAATGTTGTTATTGTAACAAGGGAGACAACCAAGGCCTAGTACACAGCTTGGCAGCTAGGTGGCGCCATAGGGCACAGAGTGCTGGGCCTGAAGCCAGACTCTTCCCAAGTTCAAATCCAGCCTCAGACACTTACTAGCTGGGTGACCCTGGACAAGCCATTTAATTTTGTTTGACTCAATTTCCTCATCTATAAAATGAGCTGGAGAAGGAAATGGCAAAGAACTCCAGTAGAACTCTTCTCTGCCAAGAAAACCCTAAATGGGTCACAAAGACACAGACACCACTGAAAAATGACTGAATAACAAAAGTAGGCAGCTAGGTGGTACAGTGGTGAGAGCACTGGATCTGGAGTCAAGACCTGAGTTCAAATGTGATCTCAAACCCTTACTAGCTGTGCAACTCTGGGCAAGTCATTTAACCTCAGCCTGCCTCAGTTTCCTCATCTGTTTGGATGATAATAGCACCTACCTACCAGAGTTGTAAGGATTTGTAAATCGCTTAGCACAGTGCCTGGCACC